ATCGAGTCCTTGGTGTGCCTGCGGAGACTTTTCCCCAGGTTGAGCCATGAACGTTTTCCTGGTGGATCCTTGGATGCCAGCATGGCCTGAGGATGTGTGGCTGGCAGGATCACGAGCACTTTTCTCCTGGTGGTTGGGGGATTTTTGTTTTCCAGGTTGTTTCCTTTCCCTGCCTGAAACTGGAGCAGAGGAATTGCAGCTCCTTGGGCTGATCCAGAGCCAGAGGAGCCCTTCCACTGAGGTGCTGTGACCAGAAGTCCATGAACTGGTGGCCACAACTCCAGCCGTGGTGCTGTCGAGGTAGACCTGCCCTGCTTTCGGCTGTGTAATCTGCTGCTGTCACGTGGCTCCGTGTCTTGGGTGGCAGCACCAGCTGGGACGCTGCGCCGTGTGGGCAGATGCGTTGGCTGAGGTCAGCGCTGAATGCTGTCGGCTCTGGCATTTCGTGTGCTTCCTCCCAGCCACAGTCCTCGTGTCGTCATGGTGAAGCTGCTAAATGCCTGTGGTATGAGTGCGACGAGGACATGTGAGTAAAAAGTCAGGTCCAATCGCCTGCTAGGGATCCGTGAGTGAAGAAACGCTGTTAATTCACCAGCTAGAGTTCAGGGCAAAGGTTTAGCTCGCTTCTGGTTTTATTCCAACTTGATTGCTCACCCGTAGTAAGCAGCCTGTCTGAGAACAAGAGTGTATGCAAATTCCCCTGGCTATTATTCTGTATTAAAAAAAAAAAAAAAAGGGAAGAAGAAAAAAAGGCTGTGGTATGACTTTAGACTTAATCATCATTTATCCTACCCTGAAGGCATGGAAGTTAATGATGATATAGATCTGTGCGGTTTTGTGTTCCCCTTGACTGAGCATTAGAAATAATTAGGGCTTGTGGGATGGATGCACTGCCGGTAGAGATGAGCAAAAAACATTTTTTGAATGTATGCATGTGGCTCCTGCAAGCGCTCTGGCAGAGATACAGGTGCTAAGTGTGCTTATGGGCTCTGAGGTTTCTCGCTCGTTCAGACACGTCTTGCTGATGCCAAGGAGAGAGGAAGTGGGAATAAATGAGTTCTGCTATTCTGGAGGTTTTTAAGGTTATGGGGCAGGCAGAGCCACTGGCAGTTTCTGGAGAGACTTCTTCAGTGGGATGAGCTTGCCTGCATCCCCAGGGCTGCTGGGTACAGCTTTGGGTTATGCCTGTGGGGTATCTGTAGCACTGGGGCTGGCCCAGGGCTCCTGAGCTGTGCAGGAGCTGGCGTCGGACCTCCAAAAATACATAAACCTGAAGCATGTAGCTGGAGGTTTTCCTGAGCTACCACCTCCTGTGGTCAGCTATTAGACAGCCATGGCCAAGTGTGTGCTGCTGGTCTCAGGTTTGATGGGGAAGAACTGTTTCTGCTGTTCCTGAGACCCCCGAATCTTTTTTTCTTCTTTTTTTGAGTGAAACCAGAGAGATTCAGCTTTTTTACTTTTTTATTCCGGCGCAGAACAGCTTCCCAGGCAGCCATATGGTAAGCAGTGCAAGCATCTCGTTGTGATGGCAGCAGCTCTTCTATAAATCCTCTGCTAAAGCAGGGCCTTCCACGTGGTAGCTATGTGCTTGGCTACCATTTGCCTGCTGTTTCTCTCCCAGTCTGGCCAGTCTGCAGTTTTTAAGGGAAAACCAGTTCAGCAGCAGCAAGGTTTCCAGCAGCGTTGTCCCTCCTGTGCGTGGAGCTGCCGCAGCATCGGAGCAGGGTCACCAGGGCTCCAGCCTGGTGCCTGGCCAAATTGGGGTGGATTTGGGAGCTGGCAGTACTGTGAGGGAATCGAGGGTTTGCCAGAGATGGCTGGGTGGGGTGCTGATGGGGAAAAGGCAGCTGCCTCGTACCTGGATGGAGCAGCGGTGATTTGTTTGTTTGTACGGGGAATTTGGGGGATTCTGAAAGCAAAACGTATCCATCTTGCATAACTACTAGCTAAATAAGCTCCTCAGCAGATCGATACGGTACAGTATTTTAGAAGATGTGCTGTGAAGGCAACTCCGGGCACAAGCCCACGGGGCAGCCAGGGAGTCTGCTGTGACTGCAGCAGCCCCTGGGAGCCTTGCAGGGCTCCAGATGTGGAGAGCTTCAAGTCACCGGCGGCTGTTGTTTTCCTGGCGCATGAATTTGGGCTCCTGTGCACCTGTCAAAAGGTGTATCTCATCCCTTCCTATTTGCCTCTCGCTATTTAGAATCCTATTGGAAAAAAAAGAGAGGAAATGCCTCTTTTCTAACTGGGGATTTATCATTCAGCGCTGTTGGTTGACTCACCGATAGCAGAATTGCCACTGACTGGGGTGGGAGCTGACTGGGTTGTGTTAGCTTTTCATATGCAGAAAATTATTTTGAAATTGAAGTTAATAACAGCAATTTAAAAATTGTCATTGATAGAAAGATAATTCAATATTTAGTTTTCTCGTGTTCTTTTTTTATGATCTGATGTTTGAATAAAAGCACTTTTTCTGCTTCTTTGCTTAATTAGCATGTCATGAAGAACTTGGTGGCGTCAAACATACCATCTAATTACATTCATTAGCAGCATCTTCGGGACAAGTTTTAATTAAGTTGTACAACGTAGATCAATACTTGTTTTGCATCCATTGCAACTTAGGACAGGAATATACTGCTCGGCATGGTTTAATTACAGCGACTGTAATAGGATGAATTTGGGTATCCTGCCATTTTGTTGGCAGCAGCAGCCCTTTCCCCTCCTGTTTGAAATGGTATACGTGGATATTATGGGACGTGTTGTTTGTGTCCTCCTTTAAGGAATATTTTAAGATCGCCCCTGTTATCCCATTAAAAAGGAGAAAGCGCGGTATGATTTAGGAGCAGCTGGGTATTGATATTTGACTTCAGTTGGAGCAGGAGAAATTAATGAACCTGAACCTTCAGGAGGGGAAGAGCTGGCTGCTACGGGGTGACGTGTAATGGGGGATGATAGCAATACTCCTACATTGCTTAGACTGCGGGGTGGAAAGCCACCTGATTTTGTTTCCTTATTTTAAACAGACTTCAGTAAAATCCCCGAGTGTTGTTTCAACTGGATGTCCTCTAATTTGGTGGCATTGTGAGCCCCCAGCTGTGTTTGCTGTTTCAGAAGCAGCAGCAGACATGGCAGAACATCTACATGCCCTGTGATAGCATTGATGTACTCATAATTCATCCGCTGCAAATATCAAGATAAACAAATATTTTACGAGTGTTTGATGCCAGGGCTGAGGACTAATTTTTCCGCCTCAGTGCTGCCTTCTGGGCTGGTTTTACCTACAGTGGGCACAAAGTTGTCAGCTCTCCATGTAATACAGTGATTAAGACCAACTTGATTGTGATAATATTGTTTTTTCAAGCTAGATCTGTTGTACAATTTTTTTATTTTTTTAATTTTTTTTTAAATTCTCCTTAACCTTAGAAAGGAGCAATGCTTTTTATTTTGGTATAATGTGCTTTGTGTTTTATCACTCTTGCCCCTACGTATTTAATACGGCTTGCTATTAAATCCTTATGCTTCTATACGTTTAGGTCTTTGGCTCATCAGGGGAAAAAGGCACTTTGAAGCGGCATGCTAATTACAGGAACTCGATCGGCGTGTTTTTATTATAGCGAGCAGGTACCCTGCAAATAGTGTAATTATGATGCCTGGAGAACTCAGTGGGCAGCGTTTTAATGTTGTCTGTGGTGATTGCAGCAGGACGACCTGGGCTGCTGTAAGGGTCCATATGCCTGGTGTTTGCACCGGTGTGTGGCTGTGCAGAGACAGCCAGTAAACCTTGTAAGAGTTGCAGGGAAGAGGATTGATCTTCCCATTCTTTATACGTGTACAGACATACCGTTTCTCTACCAATTTTCCAGTACCTACATAAGTGGTTTAATTTCTAAAGGAGCATGTAACCTCCTCTGCTCATTTCAAGCTTATTCATGGGCTAGCTCATCGCAGGCTTGAAGGTCATGAAAGTCTGGTTTTGAAAACTTCTGGTGGGATTTTTAAAGAACCCATACAGTGGAGACCATGAACTGAAGAGCTGGGGAAATGAGCTCCTTCTCAGGAGGGACATGGGTTCAAAATGTGAGTTTGTTATGCAGACAATTATGCTCTTGGAAGCACATGTTGTAGTTCAAAGAAGGAATTCGTGTGCTTTTATAGTAGAAAGTTCCTCCTAGACTGAGGTTCTGTATAACAGCTGTGGGTTCAGTCTGTTTTTTAACTGGGAGATTTAAAGCCCTGGGTACAAGAGATGACACTGGGAAGCTCAGCAATGAAAGCTGCTATAGTTTTCCTCAGCTGAATTGTGTATGGATTTATTTTTTAATTATTTCACACTTTGTCCTCAAGTACTGAGTACTTCAGGCAATATGAGGGAAAATATTATAAACTTGGGAATAATTTATTGCTCTTTAACTCATTTGCTGATTGCTTACCTGACTTAACAGAGCCACCCTGCATTTTTGGGTGGAAAAGATGATGATCCCTTGGATATGTTATAATGAAGTTGTCAAGACTTTGCGAGGGAAAGAAAATACTGTACTATTGCCATATAAAATACTCTGAAAGCTGTACCCACAATAGCTAGGATGCCCCGCACATTGTTTCTCGTTTTGTTTTTGTCTTAAAGGCCTGATTGTGTTAAAGACTCTACCACCTTAAAAGAAGAAACGTGTGGTATAAGCCTTGGTGTATGAATTTGTGTGTACCTACATACTGTTGGTCTTGTATATAGTTGTTCCCCTCCCCAAAAGACCAGATCACAAGAACTTAAATCTGGTTCTTGCAGAAGTTCAGAGCATGTGCAGCTTTGTTTCACGGGTAGATCTCAAAGGGTATGACTTCATTGTTAGAGGAGTTGTTGTCTTGTTGTTCTGCTTCACAAAAAATCCAACTTCCGTGGTTAATTATAAACAGCCTGTTTGCCATAGCCACCCAAATCTTGAAATATTTACTGAAATTTGTAACCCATACATCTTCCTTAACATTTTTTTTCTTATTTATAGTGAATTTACTGGACTCACGCACAGTGATGGGGGATCTAGGATGGATAGCCTACCCAAAAAATGGGGTAAGTCTTGGTGTTTACTTTTTCACTCAAATTATACTAATCGTTTCCATTCGGAAAGTATACTACTGGGTTTCAAAATTCCCTGGAGTGATTTGTTGGCAATGGAAGGAAAAAAAAAAAAAAAACACACACAACAAAACACATATAACAACACACTGTGACTGGAAAAATGGAGCTGTGTGGCTGGGGGATTGATTTATTTATGCAGTAGAGCCAGTCACAAGTATTAAAATAAATCATGAGTCAGCGCCCTCGCTCCTCCCCTCACCAAAAAAAACATGAGGTTATTTACCTTTTTTTAAGTGGTAAATTCTGATTCTTGAGCATTTGGGGTTCAACAGTTTTCTGCAGGTTTTCTTCTAAAACAGAGTCTGGAGCATTACTGTTCTCTTCAAATGAAGAGAGCTGTTCAGAAATACTTCTAAGGCTCCGGATAAAGTTCTGGCAGCTGACAGCACTGGAACAGGAGGTGAGCTTTAAGCACCTTGAAGAGCCTCTGTCCCTTCCTTTAATTGTACCATAGGCTGAGGGAACCTGGCCTCCTAATTTGATACCTGAAATAAATATACAGCTCAAGTGTGTTAATACTCTTGGCCTGACTGAATCGTGTGAGCAGTCGCTGCTGTGAATTTTGGCCTTGGTTTGACTGGGGCATCCTTGATGCTCTGATGTATCGGAGAGCTTTGATAGCCTTGCAAGGTTGGTTTCTGCAAAATGTGGAGTGTTCCTGTCAATTTCTAGGAGCCATGAGCACTGTGATGTGAGAAAGAATCCTGAGATAGAAATGCTGCACAGCTGTGCCCTCCAACAAAGCAGCTTTCAGGAATGTGGTATTGTAAAGTTTTAGACGCCAGCTGAAATGGGCTTGCAGAATTGTCTTGCACTCCAGTTTGTCATAAAAATGGTGGCAGTGTTTACACAAAGCACAGTCAACCCCATGCCTTTCTACTGCAGAGCAAATTCAAATCTGGCTTTTTCTCTATTTTGTGTAGACAGGAGTAGAAATGGCAGCCTCACTGAGACAAGCTGCATGCTTGCAGGCCCTGGTTATGCCAGGAATGTAAAAGCACGTGGGGAGCTTAGTTCATCCTGAACACGGTTCAAGATCTAAGCCTGTTACGGTTGGAGTCTTTAGCGATATTTTTTTCTCTTGATTTAAAGATGAGAACTAAACTTGCTCCCCTTGCACGTGTGAGCATTGGAATAACCAGCTCCAGATGTGCTGGCAGAGCAGTATGTTGGCATCTTATCACACTGCAAAGATCCTGATGTCCACTTCATAGTGTCTGCATTTTCCCTTTTCAAGACTTACCTCAGTATTTTTCCTAGGATGTAAAGCAGTTTCTGCCTCCAAGTGTCCTTACAGGAATATCAGTAGAGAAATATCTTCTGAACACGTCAGGACTGGTTGTCTGGGTCTGTATGTGTAGATGAGTAAATGAAAAGCTAAATATCCTATCTATAAGCCTCGGTTGTTTTTTCATTATTTAGAGAAACTTTTCTTTATTTACAAGCTCAATTTCCAAACAGCACCTGGAAGTATACTCATGAATGCCAAACTAATGGTTACTGACTCAATAGGGAGGATTTTTTTTTCCTTAATTTAACTTCCACAAATACAAAGTGAATCACGCAGTTGGTTTTTGAGTTTCCAGAAATCTCCTCTTAATCTTCTTTGTTTTCATGGGACGTCATAAAAATCCATGAGCTTAGCCCAGTTGTTTCTTTTGGCCTAATATATTTGTAGTACTTTATTTTACAAGTACTGAAAAAGACTTTCCAGGCCTAATTCTTTAACCCCCTTATCTGCTCTGCAGTCAGCTGTTCTGCAGCCATACTGTTGTGCACTTGATAATTTTATAATTAATAATTTGATAATTTTTTTTGAAATATTCTCATACAAATTTACCTCAGGACATCTTACAGAAATGTTGGAAGGTCTGTCTATTTACACTGTTCCCTGTGAAGGAAAGGAGCAGAAATCTTGTGGTGTGTCATGCTTCACAGTACTCCGAGGTGTGGAAATACAGACCACGTACAGATGTGTGGTATTTTGTATTTCCTGTAGAGTCTATTTAAATAAAGTATTTGGTAGCAATTTCATAATAATACCGCTCCAGCTGGAGATACATTAGCTTTTGAAGCAGCCTTCACCTCTGTTGCTACTTTTCCACTTGTTTTTTATTATGAATATTAAGGAAATTTAGTCTTTGTCCTGGAACCACATCTGGTAGGAGACTGCATGAGGAGCTCAGCTTCATTAAAGACAGTAAGCATTTAGACTGGTAGTTTTGTGGGAATGCTTGGGAGAGGTTTTCAGTACATCACAGAGGCTCAAGGGGGAAAGTTTTGAGAATAATTTCCCTTTTTATTTATTTATTTTTTTAAAAAGGTAAACAGTTGGGTGAGGAGGTCCAGCCATACCAAATTAAGTTGTTTTTGGCAGATCCTTTGTAGTAGGTGTCATATTCTAAATTTGTTGTAGCTGTATGCCATGGTAGTTCATGTGTATTGAAGCTGTAAGTCATTCCATGCTCCAGAGAGATCCAGCTGCACTCATTTAGCCCGTTGTTCACCTCGTATTTGCTGAACACAAGGGGAAAATGCACTCTCTACCTTAGGAAATGAAAGTAGTGGTAGGAGGAGACCAATGCTCCAGCCTGGATACAAATTAGGCTTTAGAGGTACGCCTGTTTCATAGCTCTAATTCCAAATAAAGCACCTCAGCTGCTTTAGTCCCTACTAGATGAGACCTTTGTCTGCCATAAAACAGGGTGTACCAGCTTATCTTTGGGATAATGGGTTTTAGGGGAAAGGACAGAAGCCACTTCAGGGTTGTCTCTGCAGAGTTTTGCCTAGCTAGGTGCTTATTTGGTACAGATTTTGGCAGTATTCAATATTCTTTCAGCCTTGCCGTGTTTCATTTTTCCTATCCTCATGGAAGGTAAGAAAAATCTCTATACAGATGGAGCATTGAGAGGCCAGTGGAAATGAAATATGCAATGGCCAAGCAGGGGTAGAAATGAAGTCTCCTGGTGTGAGGGTCCAGATGTTGTGCAGGTGAAGGTGCTTCTTTCTGCTGCTTCGCCCCGAAGGATTAATGGATCCTGGTAGTTTGTTTTTCTTGTTACCCCAGGATGATTTTCCTGGCAGTGTGCGGTTCAGCAGTCATGCGTGGCTCTTAAACCTGCTGTTATATCTGTTAAAGCTCGAGGAAAGTCCTCGTAAGGTCAGTGCAGCAGTGGAATTCGGAAAAGGGACCTTCTCCCTGCCAGTTGGACGTGATCGGTGTGGAAATGCCACCCCTTTCACAGCTTGCGAGTTGGGAATCCACCTAAAGGGACAGCTCTCACTTGGGTCTGCAGCTCGAGTAAGTTGGCTTTAATCTGAAGGTGGTTAGTGGAATTACCACGGGTTCTAGCAGAGAAGCTTGGCCTCCTCTTTATTAAAACCCCTGCTTGTACAGGAGGCCTGCAGAGCCTCTGTTGCCTCCAGACTAATTCCTGGAGTGCTGTGTAGTATTATCAACACTGGGCATATTAGAGGTTTGCATGCATTATATGCGGCTGGTACAAAAAATGGCTCTTCCCTGCAGAAACTGCTCGCATTTGCCTGTGCCAAATGTATTTTTTTAATCACAGGGGAGACTCACAGAAGTAGGAGGTGCTGTGAGAGAAATGGTTGGGTCAGATCAGTGTTTGCAGGCAGAATCGCTGCGTTACCTCCCTTGGTTTGGCAGGAGGCTCTGCGTGATGTATTTGGGCTCCCCGCAAAGCCATAGCAGGGGTGGAAGCTACAAAGAGCTCCATGAAAACCTCTGCTCTTCTGTCTCGCTCTGACCAGGTAAAAGCACAGCCACTTTTAACAATAACCAGATAATTGCAAAAGTTGCTGATTAAAATAAATGCTGTTTTCACTGGCTTGATTTAGCAATTATGTCTGATGTGTTTCAGTGGCCATGATAGTGCTGATTTACTTGTTCCAGACCCTCTCTCCTTTCAGGATTTACTTTTTAGAACAATTTCTTCACAACCTTGGAGCACTGTTTTCTTTCCAAATTGGAGCACCGCACACCTGCTTTACTTCTGTACTTTATTCCCATCTCTTCCACCTCCTGTTGATTTTTCTCGAACTTTCTGTAGCACAGAGCAGGAAAACCTCCGTGCTCCTTGGAGCACTGGCTGTGTGCTGTGGCTCACTGCACAGCTCCACGTTCTGGGCTTTTTTAGGGAAATAAACACGCACTGAGGAATCTTGTCCTGCGGAGATGTTAGAGGATGGTGGGATCACTCAATTCTTTATTCACTGCTGAAAATGAGAGCGTTAGCTGACTTGCTGCACGTGAATTGCAAGAGGTAGAGCAATTGCCCCGGCTTTTGGTGCTCAGTAAGGACAAACCCTGGAAGCAGAGGGAGTGAAATTAAATGGTTTGGTTCTGCAAGTTGCTTGTCACTTCTGCAGGCCTTCAGTAGATTTGGGTATTTATTTATTTTGGTGAGGGGTGGGTAGGGGCGAGCGTTTCTGGCTCGTCCTTCTGAGGACAGGTACCCTAGGGTGCCTCTTTGAAGTTAAAAATAACAGCGCTTTGGATTAGTCAGCATGGCTTGCAAATACATTCATGCTTTTTTCCTCTGTCGATCTTGGTTCAGATAGAGATTTTAGGCAGGAATCCTGGATTGGAGGCAGTGTTTGCCCTCGGGGTTAGAAATAAAATAAAGGGGGAGGGATAGGGGGAACGGGAGGAGAAGGATTCTTGGCACCATTGAGCTGTGTCATGTAGCTATGATTATAATTGGCATTTTCAGGGCAGTACTTCTGGCAGCCCGTGTTTTCTCCTGCAAATGCCGCCGCTCGGCTGTGACCAGTGTGGAAGAGGAAGCAGAGGGATATGCTCACATGGCAAGAATACATTTCATACTGCAGCAGGGAGCATACTAGAGATAAAAGTAGGACCTGAGTAGGTGAAAAGAGACAAAACCCTGCAATTTGGCTATTTATTT